CCCTAGTCTTTCTTTTCATTAAACATGCCCAGTTCCTGCAACCGTTCTTCATATGTTTTAGCCTCCAGTCCCCTAATCCTCTTTGTTGCTCTTCTCTGCACTCTTTCTAGAATCTCCACATCTTTTTTTTTATATCATGGCAACCAATGTTGGATGCAATATTGTTAAGATACTAAATACTTAACAAAATCCTGAACAAATGGCAGGAAAATATTGCATCACACCCATATTGCTAAATTTAATACCCTAAGGAACACTGCAAATATCAAACAATTTATATAGACTTTCAGCACACAGTCCTCAGATAATATGCACACATATTCGTTTTCACCAGTGAGTGTGTACCTTATCTCATCGGAGTCCAGAGGGTAGAAGCTGGAATCCCAAAAGCGAATATGTAAGTTTTCCAACTGTCGGTCCTTTGAAGGAAACCATGAGCACCGTACTGTATGCAAAAGTCTGCTTTTTATTTGATGCAAATAAAATCAAAGTTTTATTTATTTATTTATTTGCAACTGGCTATCCAAGAGAGAATGGATGAACAAGATGAACAGCATAAAAATACGCAAGGAAGTTACAGATGAAGTGGAGCTGGAATCCATATTATTGGATAGTCTTGGAGCATACAGTATCCGGCGCTTTGATAAAATGCCACAACATCACAACTGCTAGGAAGGTACTGTGAAGGGAGATCCTACACCAACACTAGAAAGATCAAGAGAAGACAAGGCCGGAGGGGGGGTCTGGTTGCCGAATGTGACTTCAGGTTCACAACACACAATGCCAATTATCTGGTAGTTGATGGCAGCACTGCTTCAGCGGATGGTTTTAATGAAGAAAAAGCAGAAAGATGGTGGGTGGGTGGGTGAAGCAGTGGGCGCTGAAGACCACCACAATGAAGAAGGCGAATGTGCGGTTTTGAGTTTCACTGCATGTAATGGGAAGCCAACCACACCAAGCTGTTCGAGCATGTGCGCAAGATGGCTTCTACAGAAGTTAACTAAGAAAAAAAAAGGACAGGGATGAGATTTAAGCTCGGCAGCCAAGCTGATGCATTAGCGGGACTGAGGGACAGATAAGAGGTAGGTGGACTTGGTCACAACCCATGAGGATGAAAGCAGATCCAGCAAGTCAAAGAATGAACTTGTCCTCTTGTGATGAGAGATGGGGAGGGCAAAGGAGACGCATTCCCACACCTTGAAGAACATCAAGATCTTTGGTGGACCGTCTTTGGCACAGGGGTCAAGACGTTTTGCAGGATCAGGAGGACTCTTCCTCCACAAGGTTCCCCCAGGAAAAAATAAATCTTTATTCTGAGCGGCTGTCCAGTTGCATCGGAAGTGTCCGTCACAGTCATTGGGAAGACGGATGTGAATGTCTTTCTGTGTGTCTGTGCACAGAGGCTTGGAATCATACATAGGACAATCCTCAACTAACGACCACAATCGATCCCCAAATGTTCTGTTGTTGAACGAGACATTTGTTTAGTGAATTTTTGCCCCATTTTACAATCTTTTTTTTTTGCCGCCGTTGTTAAGTGCATCACCACGGTTGTTAAGTAAGTGGCACTGTTGTTAAATGAATTTGGTTTTTTTCTCCATTGATTTTACGACCAGGAGGTCTCAAAAAGTGATCATGTGCACCCACCCCCCCGCAGGCACTGCGACCGTCATAAATATGAACC